GTGACAGTTTTGCACAGAAAATCATTTCAAAACAAAGGTCAAAAACTGTAAAAAAAATTCTCAACTTAAGAGGCTTATTTCTTTCTTGCTGGGTAAATAAGTCTTTGCATAGTTAATTCTTCTTTCCCTCAGTGGTACATCAACTAAGAAACTTTGTCTTCACTTGAGCTCTGCATTTTTGTTCTCTCCCAGTAGGACAACTGCGTTTCAGAACCAGCAGGCTTCCCACTGTTAGGGATCTATAAAAAGATTCTCTTACTGATTCATCTTCTAAATGTTTCCGCGACACAGTTTTGATGTTAAAACAAGTATGGAAGTTTGCTTGGTGGCACATGAATCAAGTGACAAAGCTTTTGTTGACAAACTCACACAGCAGCTGTCGTGGGGTTATTATATCTGTCACTGTGAGGCTCACTAGGGAGCAGGTAAATGCACCCTGAAAGATTACCTGTGCCTTGAACGCAGTGCTGATGTTTCTAATGCTTTCTCTCTTTTCATAAAACTTGAACAAAGCAGCACCAAGCTGTGTTAGTCTCCTTGGGAGAGAAGATTTCATTGAGAAAACTTATCTTATTTTCTGGGTCCCAGATTGTGGTTCAGTGACATAAGTTATGAAATTCTGTGCTGGGCTTTACACCTTAATTCATAGTGTTAATAAATAGGGGTGTCTTAAAATGAAATGGCAATGGAGACCTGCCCCTATCCAAACTTACACCCTGAAAGTGCATTCACTCGATGTGTGCTGATCTGTAGCTGTTATATTTCCGCACAAAATTGTGTTCATCTGAACATTTGCAGAAATTGCATGCAGCCGTCAGTCATATCAATCAATCCTTTTCAGTGAAAAAGAAATGTGGGCATTTAAAGTGATCTTACATACGTTCAATCAAAAGTGGTTGGTTTTTTGTTTGGGCTTTCTACTTTACACTTATTTTTGGGGTTGTTTTCACTGTTTTCAGGGATGAAACGCAAAAGAGAAAAACAAGGTTTCAAAGCTTATCTCTTTTCTTGATTTTGCATTTTGTAAGAACTACCTGATGTCAGCAGCAAGAGGAATAAAAGCAGTGGGAGCAGGGAGATGTAAAGGAATCTCTGAATTTGATGGTGAGGCTTAGCAGTCAGCAGGAAGCTTTACAAGGCGCCTGTTGGCTCTGCAGTAGAGCAGAGCAGCTCCTGAGAGCTGGATGTTTGGGTTTTTTTTTCCTGGCGTCCTGCTGGGTGGATGAATGCGAGGAAACTCTTCTGCAGTAGAAAATTCAATTAAAAGTGGCTCAGAATTGTGAACCAAAGCCAGAGGCCCTATAGGAGCATACTGGTGAAAAATGCGTCCCTGTGATAGGTAGGTTGAAAGAGAAAAGGGAATGTGGCACGAGGGGTAAATAGGAAGCACAGCCATCCCTCACCACTTGCAAGGGAAAACGTTTTGCTTAGTAATGTGAAATAAAGGATGAAACTGTACTTAAACTGCAGCCATTATTACTACAAGAAATCGAAATTTTACTTCATTTGTACATAAAGTGATTGAAGTGAATAAAGGGCAACAAAAACCCACTCTGTTTTCCTTCTATGTTGCTGGAAATCTAAGCTATGAAACAAGGTATTGAAAAATTACAATACCATTTCGGTTTATGGAAGTCCCCAACAGTTGCTAGCTTTTGTGGTGTAGAGCCAGCAATTAGCAAGCCAGGTTAAAATGCAATAAATTCTCCTATTGTAAGGTTTTACACTGCTGCCTATCTTTGTTGGTGTTGCTATGTTGCAAGTCTGTGAGAACCTGAGTACAGTGTGTTCTGCAACTATTTCCTCAAACCAGTCTGTTGGTAGTTCACAGCAGGAATAGTTTTGCATATCTCCTCTACTTTCATCAAGGTCTGAGTAATGCAATAATAAATACAGAAAATATATCCCATGTTCTGGTTGTAGGTACACGTGAAAGATGAAAGCTCGTCTAACATCAGTACATCCATCTATCTGAACATGTATAAAACCAAAATCTCACACAATTAGATACTAAATATAATGCTCTATTAATAGTTGGGGTTGTGCCATAGGCCAGCATTCGTTATCTGCCCTTAGAGCATTAACCTGGTGGAATTGAGGCAGTAGTGATGGTCTGACCCTGTAAGATGGTAAATACTCACAATCTCATTGCCCTCTCCAGCTATAAGGGGTACTCAGCAAATCCTGTAAGCAGGAATTATATTTACCAAAATAAGTCCTCCTTCTCTTGTTGTAATCAGTTGTATTCCCAACTTAGTCAAAAACATCGAGAATCCTTTAAAAATAAACATTAAAAATTTGCATGCAATTCCTGTTTGTCCAGTACAAAACAATGTCGGAATTGTAATTTCGAATGTGAACTAAGTGTAGTTCCAAGCAGCAAATGATGCTCATGAATATATTGTGTGAATGATCAGGAATTATAATCATGAAGTGTCATGAATATTTAAAAATGAGAGAGCCTGAAGTCATCCCTCACTAGTGTGCACAGCTGCAGGAGAGCCATGGGAAACTTGGGTTGTAAGTACTCTGTATCAGTTTTACTTTGCATATGTATTTAATAGATATTGACAGAAGTCACGGTCCTGTTTTCAGTTTCACAGCAACCTGCTGTTCCAAATCAGGGATTAACTTTTCTTATAAATACTTGTTTGTAGAGAACAGAGACAGCTGTTGAGGTGAAAACTGCTGAGGTTCAGACAGAAGAAGGGAGAACGGAGATAATGAGATATGTCAGAAGCGAAAGAGAAGACTGATGAGATCGTCAGCCCTCACAAAGTGTGCTGTGGGATGAGCTCAGCCAAGAGTTTATAGGAGGGAGAGGTGTTGGACATGATGGAGTGAGATTAAAAGCATGTACTCAGCACTGAAAGTTCCTCTGCCTCTGTGCTTACATGCATAGTGCAGATTTATTTCTGTATTTCTTGTGTGTTATGGTGGTTAAAGGCTCAGAGAGGGTAAGAATCAGTTATTTCCCTTGGATTTGACAGCCTAAGCTTTCTGAGGAGTTTGCCATAGAAATTGGGGCATAGCTTAAAATGTATGGGAGCAATCAAGGGCTTCACTGAGTGGAGCTCAGTATCTGTGCCTTCATAGTGCTAATTCATCATGGTGCACTTTCAGTATTTATGCATAATGATTAAGATCTGTGGATTTTGGAAAACTTCCTCTCAAGTTTTCCTTCCTCTCATCTCACAGCCACTTGGAATAGCAGCAGGCATGCTGCTTTCATGGTGCCAGCTTACACCTGCAACTTGTGGTTTTGAGGGCAGGTGAAATAGATCTGTTTCACAGTAATGTTTTTAATAATTTTATGACAGCAGGTGGATTATCAACATCCATTAGTACAGCCTGTATTTTAACTCCCAGTCTTCATGTTACTTTTTGCAGTGATTCTTTTTCTAATTGTCTCCAGCAAGGTATATCATCATTTTGATAGTCTCACAAGACACATGCAACTAGGTGTAGTAGTGGCAGTAGTGGCCAGTTCCCTAGAGCTTTTCACAAAAAGGGTGATTACAAAGGATGAGTGGCATCTGTTCAGGGTCATCCCAAAATATTAATGATTGGAGAAATCTTTGCACATTGTAGCATAAGCTGATTTTCAACTCAAGCTTTGTTGTGACTTGATAAAGCTCTGAACAATCCTGCATCCAGACTTTAGCTGTTAGTGGAAATGAGCTGGAGGTATGAAGTTAAAATTGGTAATAAACAGTGAAGGTTTTGTCTTAAGCTCCAGAAGTATGTTGTACACGTGTGACCTGTGTGATCTTATAGCTCCGCATCTTCATGCAGTGCACTTAGAAAATACTTCAGCTGCTGTCTGCCAATGGGCATTTTTGTGTTCTGAGGCACAGTGGTGGTTTTTCCCATTTGCTTGTTTTGGAGGGATATTTTAGCTGAACTTTACACATTCTCTGTTAAGTTGTAATCTAGAGATTTAAGCTTTTAAACATGTGTGATCTACCTTGCATAATGAACTTCTTTCCTAGCTCTAATTAGTAAAAAGACTCAGTGAAGTGAAACATTTCGTTTCTCCGCAGTGGAATCTTATTTTAAGGAAGCCATGAAGAAGATTCAGAAGCTGCAGAGACATGAATGTGGGAGTTCTAGAGCTGTAACTATTGTCTGATTGTATTTCAACAACACACACTCACTTGCCATTAGTCAGGTTATGCACAGAGCTGCTCTAAACATGCACTGGGTGTAGGTCTATTTGACGATTCAGCTGAAAAGCTGCGTTGTTTCCAGAATTTGGTAGGCTTCATTCTGCCTTGTTATTTTACCCACCGCATTTGTGAAGTATCCCCAGTTCTTTTTGAGAACAAAGATATATCACATAATCAAACATTGAAGAGTAAAAACTGGAATGAAATTATTAATGTCCAGAGCACTGATCAGCCTAGAGAGTAGCCTGTTTGGTTTTATGCTATACTGGCCTCTTCTTAGAATGGATTTCCAGCTCTCAGTGCACAGTATGTGTGCTGTGACAGGGAGCAGCTGTTTATCATGGTATCAAGCAGCTGAAAAATATCCTGAAGCTGAAAATCTACGCTAGGAATGTTTTTTTTCCTAGAGGGCAGTTTATTGACAAAGATTAAAGTTAATTTTGGAGCAGTGTTCAATAATGTAAAGAGCTTTATTTTCCTCCTGTCTATGTCTATGGACCTTCTGAAGCTAATTAGGTCTCTTGGCACATCACATTGCACAGCCGTTTGGCCTCATCCATGTTGTGAATTCAGCAAGCTCTTTCCAAAGCACTCAGGTGTTATGAGGCCTCTCCTGGGAGTCTGCTGCTTCCTGAGGAAGGCCAGGTGCCTCGTGCCTCCTAATTCTGTCTTTGCAACTTTCAGTATGCCCTCCTTTGAGCTCCTAGCTCCCAAGTGTCCAATGCATTTTTGACAGAAAAAAAAAAAAAAAAAAAAAAAGAGGAGTTGTACTTGTGTTGCATTATTTTTTAAATCAGCTTAAAGTACATACAATCCTACATCCTCCTTCAGGCAATTGTGGGTCGACTTCTGCGTCCATGAAGAGGCAGGATATGGGTCTAACTGTTGATAGAAGCATTGAAGGTGGAATTGCTGACAGCGGAATACAGCTCCTCTGTTGGTGAGTCCAGCTGAGATCTGTGCTGTTGCCTGACAGTCTCCTTGAGCTCACTGCTCTGTTACCAATGGGCTGGTGTGGGTTTGGGTCCAGCAGGTGACTTGCCTTTTGCTGGCCATTCCTGGAGGAAGGCTCTGTGTGTAAGCAAGAGGAGTGTAAATCATCTTCTTTACCATTGTCCTGTCTAACCCTCACTTAGCTATTATTTGCCAGCTAATGCTATGATTCAGTCTTTGTGTTAGTTCAATGGAGGAAGAAAAGGACGCCACAGCATGGGGCTGGAATTAAGCCATTGGAAGTGCTTCCTACAAGACATCAGTGTATCCTCTGGCTTCATCAAGAGTTTCCTTCATCAAAGAAGTTATTGAATCTCCTTTGCCAGAGAGCGAGCGAGCTTTGGTCCTTGTGAACTTCCAAAAAGTTCCTCCTTTATTCCAGAATGCAGCACGTGGCTGCAGAGCGTGCAGCTGAGGAAGTGGCCAAAACAGCTCTGTCAAGGTGGAACTTCCCACAGGATTCCCTCTGAAATTGTTCATAACCAATTTTATGAATATTGCTGATGGTATAGCAGCTGTGGTTTGTGGCAGAAACTAATTGCCCTTTCCTGCAGTGTTATAATCTGTTACTAATCTCTACTTTTAATGTGGTTTGATTGGTTTTTGCTGGGAGGCGGATGGCCCGGTCTTTGACACGTTTTGAAATTGATACGTATGAGCAATGCTCTTGTGTGGAGGGGACATGGCTCATTAGTGTGCTTCCACAGAGAGGAATGTTGCACTCAGTGTTATGCAAGACAATCACTTCAAAATTATAAGCATTTTGCTTCTATACTAAGATATTAAGAGTAAGTTTAATCTGTTTAATAACTGGTTTCTAGCAGCATTCTCATTAACAGAGGATATGTCACCCTCTATTTTCTAAAGGGTAAAAAATGTTAGAATAATGAGGAACGTGCTGAATAGATGCATGGCTGCATGACCTTTTTTTTTTTTTTAACTGGAAAAGGTACCAAGTAGGGGAAATGTAAACGCCTGACCTTTAGATTTCTGTTGGAGTTTTGAATGTTTGCCTTTGTTTTGAGAAGAGCAGTTCTTACATGATTAGTGTTGGAATTGGAGAGGATGGCTTTGAAGATTTTACCATGGAATCTGGCTATAGAAATAAGGATTCTGAAGAAATATGTGCTCCAAGCACGTTATGTCAGAAGGCCACAAATGAGATTGATTTTAAATTGGTCTCTCTGGCAATTTCACTGTGTTGATGTATCTATATCGGTTTGTTTTTTTCACATGTAAAATTCTAACAGAAAAACAGCCACTTGTTCCCAATTTGTTTTCATTCCTTGTGGTTCATTTCGGCTGTAAACTCTTTGTGATGGTGCACATCATCTGGCACAAGCAATCACACAAATGCTCTGACAGATCCATGCTCAGTGCATCTTATTGCTGTTATATAAAACTACTCACTGCTTGTGTACCTGGTGCCAGGCAGGCTCTGCCTCCTCTGCTGAACATCATGTTCTTTTCCATCACGTTAATTGTGATAGAGACACTGGTCCCTATTTGCATCCTTGCCAGAAACTCGTGATTAACCGTGATCTGATACTAACCAATGCTACTAATACTACTGGTGCTGGACTGCAGATCATGAATAGTATCTTTGCTTGGCATTGCCACTCACATAGCCATTAAGTTAAATCTTCAAAAGAAAGAAAAGAAAATGTGCTTAAAACAATAAGAAGTTGGAGTACAAGCCTTTTTCTCTAGTTCATTGTACTTGATGTAAAGAATGAATCTCTGCATTATAAATGACAGGAGGGATGAGTTGAGCATTCACTCCCTTCTTCCTGTTGAGAAATCATGTGTGAACAGTCCTTGATTTTCAATTACAGGCTTTTTCTTCAGTTATTGAACGGGTTCTCATGTAAACATGTTTCAGCCTACTGAAGGATTACAGATGTGTTTCGAATACTCTGCTTCTGTGCTGTTTACTGCCTTTAAGGATGTGGCATTGGCACTCTATTTCTTGGTTGGATGGATATGATTCCAGCAAAGACTTCAGAAATATAACCATTTTTTAACAGCTGACAGGGGAAGATGACTGAATAAGGGATCTTTATGTATTCTATTTTGGGATTTTTGAGCTGAACTTTACTAGAGGCATTCTTATGAGGAAAAAATATCTTGTGTAATATTTGATGTGGAGAAACATTAAGCATATGTATGGGTATGCATTTCTGTGTCAGGATTTGAGCCTCAGGCATTGTAAGCATTTGTTCAGGCCCTTATCTTAAATCATTTAAGCGTTGGTCTCTCCAGAGCTGTGTTAATCATCACCAAATTCCGTAAGCTCATGGTGCTAATACACTTAGGAAGAAAGAGTGTGCCGAGCAAATTTAACTCTAGATCTCTTTATTATTGTGTCACAGAGACTGGTGTTGTTTTGGTGCTGTCTAGGCACAGAAATTTTGCATAGGGATATTTACCTGATTTTATCTTAGGACAAAGGATATGCTAGAAGGATATGAATGCTGCTTTAGGTGATGATCTTGCTTATAGGTAAGATGAACTTTTTCCAAAGGTCTTTTTTTTAACTTCTTTAATGTTCTTTACCATCTGCCAGTGTCCAAGCTAAAAGAGACTGAAATTTTGGCAAAGTTCTGTTTTGAACACTATTATCTTTTCCCTTCAAGACTTCCACAATTACTACAGTGACCCTGGTGTGGTTGTGCAGAATTCTGCCTGGACAAACGTTAAAAAGGCAGTGTGTAACCAGTTAATGTAGGTCCTCTAAGGGGAATTTTTTTGCAATTTTTTTCCCTAGCAAAAATGCTGAACTTGAATTTTATAAACCTACTGTGCAGGATTTGCTATATTTACTAATGAAATACAACAAACCAAAAAGCAGTTTGCCTTTTAGTTGCAAATTATACAGGAGTTCAGGACAGCAAAGAGCAAGTCTGAATTTTCCAGGAGGAATTTATTGCCAAAATAAGAACTGAAAGTATATTATTTCAGCAGTTTGAAAACCGTAGAATAGCACAGTATTGCACACAGAAAATGCAGTATCAATTACTTGTGATAGACGGGAGTTCTGAAAGGCAATATAAATGTTGGATTTAATGTCTCAAAGTAGACGTTGAAAGGTGAAGTGAAACTTACAATGTGCTGCAGCAGAGTAATGTTACATGGTAGATCAGCTTTGGAGCAATTTGTAACAACTTGATAGCAAACTTTTCAATCTTATTTCACTGAAATCTCTTAGTACTTTATGAGTTACAGATGCATTAGAATTTCAGAATTGTAGAGAAAGTGTATTGTGAAGTGTTTCTGTGGATTTCAGTGAGAGTTTTGATTGACCACATGTCCAGCTTCTGGATACTTATTTTCATTTGCTTATCTAATGTTAGAAGAAATCACTCATAGGCAAAGTAAGAGCTGTCTGAATGATAAAACTGTCATCTCCTTCAAAATGACAAAATTGTTTATAGAAGCCTTGGGAGCTTGTAGATGTTTCATCTAAAGTTCTTTATTTTCTACTGAGAAAGTCATGTTATTCCAAGACTTATAAAAAACACCTCATATTATGTGATCTGAGACAGTCAAAGATGCAGAGACATTTTCGATAGATAGGGCATGCTGTTTGCAAGGCTAACCCCTGGGAAACCTTCACTAGAGAAGACCCATATGTCTCCATTTCTGCAGTTTTTGTCATTGCCTTTCCACTAAATGCTACCCCAGAATTGGTGGTGGAATACCAGCTGTTTAAAATGCTAGAAGCTTTTATTGTGTCTGAATTTGTCAAAAGATATGGGATGCATTTTAATACCATTCTGAAGTATCTAGAACCTTCAGAACAACATTAAAATGCATCCCATATCTTTTCAATTCAAGTGCAATATAAAATATTTCTGTGTTGTGGCTGATCGTATCCCAAATCATTTTAAGCTCCTGATTGATTTTTCTCTTGCATCCTGTGGGCTGTTTGGTTTAGTAGAATAGTTTATGTAGGGAAATGTAGAGGCTGATTTTATCCCATGATTGATCTCATGCATGGCCGTTGAGACATACTTTCAGGTTTTTTTACCTTTTTTCTGTGTTTTTTTTTTTTTGTTGTTGTTGTTGTTTTGCTTTTTTTTTTTTTTATTTTTCTGACAAAAACCTTTCATTTATTCATGGCTGTCTCATAAATGCCTACACAGCTAACTGGATGCTGTTTCTAATATTCCTTCTTCTATGGTCTGGTAAAGCCAGATAATCCACTCATAATTAGAGGTAGCTTCTTTTATGAATGTTTCTGAAATAATTCAGTCAGCAGCTGTTCCTCCCTCTGGTGACAGTAATCCATTTGAAGAACGCTTCTTTAATGTAGCTTTTCCCACACAGATCACAAGAGGTAAGGATTTGTGTGCCCTGTTTTGCAGGCAGACTCTCAGGAACAGAGTGATTTACTGAGAATCACACAAGTCCGTGGATGAGGAAGGATTTGGGTATTTCTCTCCACTGCATAAGCTTGCTTTCTAATCAGTCAATTGACCATTCTCTCTTAGTGGGGAAGCATGGTTTTGAATTGGTCTCTTGCAGACCTCCACTGGAGGTGTGGACCTCTACGCAGTGAGTTTGCTTCTGTTAATGCCATTTCTCAGTCTCCCTCAACACGATCCCTGGGTCTTCCTTAACTGTGAGTTTTCCCTACCTGTGGCCCACAGGTGGAAAAGCACTGGCGTGGGCTAAGGTTGTCTGGATAAATCAGCAATCTGCAACAGGAAAAGAAGTTTGGTTTTCTTTTGTCTTTGTAGTGCTGCTGTCTGGGTGGCTCTTGAATCACTTGAACATTCTAGACCAGATTTTGTACCCAAATCACTTGTTCCTTTGTATTACTTAAGCAAAAATCTTTTTACCTCCCTTACAGTGGAATTTCATGTGACTGTGCAGTTTATAATCTAAATTTGTCTGTTACTGTGTAGCAGAAAAATGGGACCAGGTCTTCTCTGTTAAATCTTTTATCTTTGGCTAACTGAAAGTTGAGCAG